ACATGTTTCACTTTCAGAGGCGATATTTTCTAATTTTGACACAAATTCTCTTTGAATTATGTCAAGTACTCACTACAGACAGATCAGCTATCAAAATGATATTCAAGAATTGATTCAATGTTATGACAAATTTACTGGGTTAATTCTATTATTTCATAACGACAACTTTAAAGAACCATGCATCCCTTTCTAGAATTGATAAAAAATATGCCCACTCACTACAGTATGCGAGGTTCTATAGCACAGTCGGTTAGAGCGTTGGTTCTTTACATGACATCATTTGCTTGGTTACGTCAAGTGAATAGCAGTTGTGGGTTCAATTCTTGATCGATGCATGATAATCTGAATACCTTGAATAAGTCATCTTCTCTCATAATTCCTTAACTGTGTGAACCTAAGTTGTTATCCTTGTAATTGTTTATTTCTTTTTTTTTTCTTTTCTGTAACAGCCCCAGAAGTTTTCATTTTTGGTTCAAAAAGACAGAAATACCAAGTTTTATTTTAGACAACTTAAAGGAACTGTAGGATTTTCATTATTTTAGGTCAAAGTTTCTTATCATCTCAAATAACTCAAATTTGAACTTTACCTTTAAGTTCAACTAAGTTTCAAGATAAAAACTGCAGCACATGTGACTATATGAGTGTCAGGAATGCTTTGCACATACTCAGTCACATATTTCATAAATTTTACAGTTCACGCACCATGATTATGTTGAATTGACCTCATATTTCAACACAGCCTTCACCTACATTTGTCAAAGAAAATGTAACCAGAACCAGCTGATAAATTATAGCTTAATATGGAGTTGAAATACACTGATCTTCTTAAAATATTCCTTACCTTGAACAAAATATTCCAATCTAATGCCAGCAAGTTCAACATTGATACATATTAACACATACATTTCCTAGCAAACTAATAAATGATACACAGCGAATCGCAAGTCTTTAATTTGCTCTATTTTCTTTATGTGAGAAGTTTGCATTTATCTTCATCAATCATAATTAAATACATTAGTTACATTTTCCTCTTACTTTTATCAATAAACAAATAATAGGGGTGATTGTTTATTTAAATTTTTACTAGGTCAGAGCAGAAGAATATTGGGTTATACACATCAAAACTTCACAATTCAGACATTTACGTCTGTAGGATGAAAAAAGTACCATAATGGATCACCATTGTGCTTAGTGAAATTTTGTGCTATGGTGACCTGATAAACCATAATGCCTTAAAGAAATGTTATCTAATTATTCCCCTTATCATGTGATAGAGCTTGATTTAACTATCTGTAACACTATTCAAATTTCAAATCCTACATCCAGTTCTCCTAAATCAACAATTGTTAAGCTGTTTTAAATTTTCAGTTCGTTTTTAAAATTCACACTGATCTTAATGACCAAAGAATTGATGGTAAACTGAACATTAGACTCTAATTCTGATAAATGTTACAGGCAAACATTTTAATTCTCTTAAAAAAACTCATTTAAATGTCATACCTTTGAATCTTTACAAATAAGTGTTATTATTCCATTCATAGTTATGTCACATGCATCCTTTTCTAAATGCTTTAACACATTGAAATGTTACAAGGTTACATTTGGAGTTGACTTGCACAAGTTCAACATAACATTGTTAGTTTAAACTTTAAAACAAGTGCACCCAAACTGACATTGTGGTAACAAAACAAATGTGTACTGTCATAAATTTTATTTCTTTCTTGAGGAAAAACTGAAAATTACACATACAAAAAACAAGTCCATTTTCTACAAATCATTGAAATTCAAATAGTAACTGACAGATAAACCGGATATACTTGATATGAAGGTAACTTAAATTCTATACAGTTCACCTTTTCATTTCAAGTATCTAAATTTAAAGAGACACACATACACTTGTGAATAAGAATAACTTGACTTCAATATCCAACTGAATTATCTTTTTTTAACTTTATTACAGAGAAACAGTTTTAAACATACTAATTAGAGTAATAAGGCAGTTTGGTACTAGAAATATAAGGAATTTTACTCACTATTTCTTTTGTATAGATATCACAGAGTATCTTAAATTGATCAGTCGTCATTTTAACATTCGAATGCAGATAATTCTGGACACACAAGGATTTGAAGGCTCAAATTTCGATGGTGAGTTGTGAACACTTTTACTGATTAAGTCAGCTAAAAGAACTCCAGTTTCTGATCTGAACCATTTATCCATGTTTGAACCTCAAATCACATCACTGACTGAGAAACTTCATAATGTCGAGCTTTTATTTCATCTTATATCTTGACTGCAATAGCCACTATTGTTGTATCACGGAATGCAACAAATTTAACTTAAAATATCAAAAATATCAGAGCCCTCGACAGAAAGATTGTGATAAAACATTATTTTTTACAGGCTTTCTGTCCAGAGCTCGGACTTATTTTATTCCCTAGTACAATCTATTTATCTCTGCATATACAGACATCTGTGATACAACAAAGGTGGAGTATAAGATGAAGTTTGTAGTAGCTTGAAATTGTGAAGATGCACATATACATGCAAAGATGTATCTTGATGTACGCTGGGATTGAAAACTATAATCAACAGCATAAAGAGCAAGCTTTATCATTCATGACCCCAAAAGACTTGAAGCGGGATGATGGTAACCTATATTTTCACTGAACAGAATTTGTCTCTTTAAAAAGGATTAAATCAATATATCATATAGCTGAGATCTCAGAAGAGGTTTTGAAAAGATGTTTATTAGGGTTCAATACATCTTTACATCTGAGAGATATTAATAACAAATAGATAGCCATAATATTATCAATCACTCAAGTGTGAGCTTTACAAATATAGTTCATTGCTGACTCTAGTCTTATGGGAAAAACATTTTGAAGTGAGTATTTAAATATCATTATAAATGATTTCACATGTTTTTTTTATCAATGTATCCAAATACATGTATGTTTGTGAAATCTGAAATTATGTTTATTATATTTCCTTTTTCCAACCTTATGAAACTATAATTTGTGTGCATCATATCATATCACTTGTCCTTTTGGCTTCTAATCTGTGTGCATTATCTCCTGCTTACCCTAGTCAATCTGTATAACATTATTCCCATTCTAACCTATTGTACATCTAATTTGTGTACATCCATCTTCTGCTAACCTTTAATCAACCTTCTTAAAACTATTCCTAGTTCCTATCCTTTTGAACATCTAATTTGCTTACAACATTTCCTGTTAACCTTTAGTCCACTTGCATAAACTATTTCTAGTTTTCATCCCCTCCAATCTCAAATTTGTGTACAATTGCGTCATAACCCTTAGTCCACCTGCATAAAACTATTTCTAGTCCTATTCTTTTGTATCTCTAATATGTGTACATTATCTCCTTGTAACTCTAATTAACCCCTTGAAAAAATATTCCTTATGGCTAACCATGTGAACTACTATTTTGTGCATATCATCTCCTTGGGCCTGTTTCTCCAAAAACCAAAAAATATACAATATTGACAAAAAGATTTTTTGAAAAACCTAGTTAGTCAACCTGCATAAAACTATTCCTATTGCAAAATACAGAACCAACAAAGTACGATAACCTAAAGGGACAGATGTCCCATTTTTTCAGTATTAATTCGAGTATTAGATATATGTCTCATAATTCCTTTAAAAATATTTCAAATTAGGAATTTCTTTTCCTATTTCTATAGATGTCTTTTCTATATATGGCAGTGTCTCAAGAAAAGACAACTCTTCTTCCCGTTTCTGGGACTAAGGTACGATTGGTTGAAAAATGGTGCAGCTGTCCAACAGTGATTTCAGTACCTAAGATCTTCAAGATTGAAAGACTTTCTTTTTTTGAGAAGGTTTTCGAGGTCAGTATGAATGAGTCATAATTAAACAAAAATATTACATGCATGGAGGTACATTTCATCAAAAACTGTCGGTAGGCTCACACAACAATGAGAAAGTTCCATTACAAAGAGTAAGAACTCATTTGATCAGCTAACTTTACATATTTGAACATGGTATTAAAGGGAGATAAACCATATTAGTTATATGGACTCAGACCATAAAAAAATAAATAATTTGTATCGCTAGTATATATATAAATCTGTTGTCTGCCTTTTTTTTCATGGCTATTTTGTGGTCTGGATTTAGATTTTTTAACATAGTAAAATTCAAAAATACGACAAAAATATTTGGGTTTAATACCAGATATTGGAATTGATTAAATGTAAAGAGATTAATTATTAAAATTAATACATAAATCCACAAGGTATAAAGAAAAATCCTTTTCTCTCTTATTAGCAGATGCAGATCTGTTACTTATTTTAAGATAAAAAAAAAATTCTCACCTTAGAAGCCATGGCAAAACTTTCAGAAAATCTTCGTTGATCTTGTTCACTTATCATACTTCTGTCTCGGTCTTGATTAAATCTTCGGATAATATTTCTGACCATAGGATCATCTTCACTGTCAGAATCAGAATCAAAATCATCTGGATGGAAATATGGTATAGGAGGTGCTGAAGGTGAACGTAGCATGGCCTTATTACGACAATATGATTTGGGACTCAATCTAGCCATATTTAAATCTACTGTTTCAACTTTATCACTAATAGAGTTCAACTGAGCAAAAGGAGCAGAGAGTGGTCTAGGACTGATAAATTTTCCTTTCACAAATTCATTTTTACATGATTCATCACTACTATTGTCACTAGGAGCTTTACGTTGCTGTAAAAGATTTCTCATACTTTGACGTAAATTTTCAGCACTGGCATGATGTGGTACCACAACATCATTTCTACTAGATCGATGTGAGCTGCTAGGCATAGCTCTAGGATTGAGTTTATTATTGTGACTACCACCTAACCAATATTCTGATTCACTGCTTGTTGAATTGTTCATAGATTTTCTCAATTCAAATGCCGAAACTGGTCTTTTGAAATGGCTTCGAGATGTTGGTATGGTATGAACTTCAGGAGATAGATGGTGTACAGGGTGACCTCCCCTGCTACCACCGATAGCATTTGGACGAGTAGAGGCTGACTCTCCTGCTGGCATGTCAACAACAAATACACGATCATTAGAATTATCTTCCCTGCCAAATCCTAAGCCACTGTCACTATTAGAAGAATTACTGGAGCTACGATGAGGATGACGAGTTGGATTAGCAAATGCTTGTGATTGAACAATGTCATTTTCATAATTTTCACCTTGTCTCCCCTTATACAAATTAGTCACTGCTAATATAATATGTGTACATGAACGTGGGAATTCCTGGCAGCTCAGATTATCAGGATCTATTGTGCACTGAAATCCAAAAGATTGAGCTTTAGTAGAATGAGCATTGTGCGAGCGCAATTCTGGATCCACCATAAAAATATGGCAAGAACTTGTGGTTCCAATATTGTCATTTTTGTTACTATATTCACTGATATCATCGCATTGATCATGTAAAGTTACGATTCCGAAAAATCTTTTGTCGTCTGGACAGACACCGCTGAATGCCAGTCTATCAGCAGGGTACTGGGTGATAATTTTCCCTGCCATATTTGTTAGTTTCACACCATCATTTTGAACATCCATAAGCACAAATGTGTGAATCCTTTTTTCTTTTCTGAGACGTCGCACAGCATTACGTAGGGACTGCAGACGTTGATGAGGTCTGGTAGCATCACTTGGCATTTCTATTGAACCAATATAACCAACAACAGCCTTGACATCACTATGTTCATGAAAATTTGCTGAATGTTCACTGTTATCACTGTTCAGACTGTCAGAAGGTAAATGTCCGGCTGGTATGTTCATTGGTAGATGCCCAGATGTCATGTCTTCATAAAGACGCTCACGATGATGCACTGAACCTCGTCCAACATTACGATCACAGATATTATTATACAGATTAGGATTGGAGTGATGAGAAATGGAGCGACAGCTCTGAGTTAGATTAGTTTGAGAATTGAGTGCTAAGTTTGAGTGAGAGGTCTGACTGGAATACGAGTTTTGAGAGTTTAATGAATGGTAGGAAACATACGACAAAGAATTCTGAGACATATGAGATTGAGAGTTTGATAAAGAACTCTGCAAATTAGATCCTGAATTTCCACTTTTCAATGATTGGCTGGATTGTGATGTTTTCAGACGGGCACCTTGATTGGAGCGATTGCTGGAATTATGAGAATTCTCCTTTTGGCTTAGATCTTCTTGAGAGCGCACATTGAGTCTACAGTTTGTTCCTTTGGTTTCAAGTTTAGTTTGGGAACGATGATTCTCCGGTGCCTTGGGAGGTAATTTTTGCTGTGTTTGTCTTGGACGCACACGATTTGGAAATCTCGATTTAACTCTTGGATGGTACTCTTCCTCAGAAGAATCAGAATCATTTAAGTTTTCAGCAACTTGAAGTTCCAAAGTCCCTGTAGATAACCCAACCATTCTTACTACAGAGTCATGACTTGACCGTGACACGTTTTCACCATTTACAGACATGACATAATCACCTGGTTTTAATCCCATGACTTCAGCTGGACTACCGCTCACAATACAGCTCAAAACACACGGATGCTGTCCTGATATAGTAAAACCATAACCTGATTTACCACGTGAAACCTGAACCGTCTTGACACCATGCATAGGTCTCTTCTTTCTACGTCTAGTGGGTTGTGTGGAATGCATACTGCTCTCTGAAAATATAAAAAAAACTTTGATAAGTCTTAATCATACATGATCACTGCAGACAATGTGTCAATATCAACTCCATTGAATTGAATTCAACTGCAACTAAAAATCATTCTAATTTTTTATATTTTGTACAATTGACTAGCTTTCTCACAAACAATTCTTCATGACTTCTAATACTAAAACTGACTATTTGTATAAATTCTTTTATAACAGAATTATTGACCTCTTTTCTAATTTATAGAACTTAATTTCAGCTGTCCTTATCACATTTCAGAATCAAATTAGACATCAAGTTCTCCTACAATTCAACACTAATGAAGCACAAAATGTTTCTACACTTTTGTCAATGCATGATTTATCTACTCAGTTATTAAGCTATATTTTAACATAGTTGATAATGACTGCACACAAGAATTTTAATAACCTCTTGAAGTAAAGACAGTCTAAACTGGTGTTATGTAATTGATGAATTGAAGTACTAGACTCTAGGTTATAAAATACTTGATAATATTTAAACCACTAACACTTTACCCTTTACCCAAAACAAATAACTCAATATCCAATTTCAATAATTTCACCACAATGAATTATTAAACCACCAGTAGCAATAGTACTTGATAACAGACTAAGTTTAAAACTATCCATAAAGTCAAAAAACTAAATAAAAGAAAAAAGGATATTCGGCTCACAACTCAAAAGTAAATAGAGAAACAACTCGTTCTTTTGAATGTGTTCCAAATTTAAATCTTATAGTTTGTCTAGTAACTTTTTATCTATTTTTTAAACAAACTATAAGCTTACATATGACCTCAATATATTTTACATTGAGTAATTACAATACATATATTTCAAGGTGAGGCAAGGAGGTAAATGTAACCTTATCCTCTGCCTTCTGTAAATTAGTAACTTGTAACATTTAACAACCCTAGCTCCTTAAAAGAAAATTCAGCATATTTCAGAAGTTTTATGTTGTCTGTATTCTTGTCTTATTCTTATACTGTGCTCACCTTTCCGTCTATTCAGTGTATTTTGTGTTAAATGAGGTTATGATTTATAAATATTTTTGTTCTGTATGCATGATATGATCAAGTATGTATCAGTACACAGTCATGAAATGCAATATGCATATTTTGACATGTCATGGCATTTAATTCATATCTTTCAGGCCAGCACTATCGCCATTTTGCATTACACCATGGCTTTGTTTGAACATAGCTAACTTATAAATCATGGAAAACTGCAACAGCAAAATCAACTTACATCAGCTTATTTATACAACAGCATCAATCAAGGAATTCAAAATTGTTTTAGCTCCACCAAAATACTTATCAGAGACATTTGACAATGAATTCAAAATAAGAGTCAAATAGTAACTCTGAACATGGAAGTGAAAGGTGTTCTAATTACCTGAGATGTCCAGTATATAAAAAGACCACACATCATACTATATGTTTTATGCTATATATCTGTGTATATTTTAGTAGTTAACAGGTAGTAAAAATATATTGTCAGATGTTACTAATTATAACACCTAACTTGTTAATTAATCAAAACACTAATTAGATTATTAAAGTAGGGTAGCAAGATGTTAACACACCAATACACATGTCACAAATAAAACTTTCAGTTATACCATTTCTTATATGATGGAATAATTACAACAAATATTTTCACTTCACTTGTGACACCCACCGCAATATTTAGTTCAATGGAGCTTAAATATAATTAAGTCTTTAGACTTGAACTTGAAAGCCAAGAAGTTTCAGAAGAATTATATTTGGGACAATCATGTCCACTAACAATGTCATAGAGTCATTGGCCTATTGCTGTGCAATAGATATTCCAAATAAACAATAGATCAGTATAATCTTACGTTACATATACCAAGTAAGGATGTAGATGGATATCCTAAATCTACATGTAACATATGTTCAAATACATGCTATGCTATTTTCTTGAAATTGTGACGAACGTAGAAATTAAAAAACGTCAAGTATCAAACATTTTTCAATTTTTCAAAAAAAAATTCCATGTATCTTCAGATTGATTGATTATTTTTCATGTGTTAATGGAATATATTTTGATTTTAATTTTTATAACTATCCTCGTTAAATTTTTAGCTACTTTTGAACACAATGTTTGAATTAAAGTATTTCAACAAATATAAAGTTAAAATGTCTATTTACCTCTCAATGTGACTCTTTAAAAGATTCAAATGTGAAATCAGACTCTAACACAAGTTTAATATAGTAAATGCAAATGACCTATGTTTTTATTAAGGGCTAGACTGTGTCTAATAACAATGATATAGTTCATTTTACCCTATTTAACCACCACCATCATAATCCAACAATGATTGAAATGTCATTCAAATGACATGACCTACATCAGACTAGAATACAGTCTACATGTCTCTCACAGCTAAAATTCTTTAGAAATTTGATTGAAAAAACAAATAGTGAAAGTCAAGAAAACTATTTTTCTGCATTTTAAAAGATTATGTATTCAATTTATTTTAGTGTCAGTCTCAAAAATAAACTTTTACAACAAAACCATGTCAAAAACTTCAGTGTCTTTAATAATAATAATAACAAAAATTTTATTGCTAAAAGACAGTAGTTAAAGAAACTGTCAATTTGCTTTTATAACAAGGAAGACGGTGATGAACTAGTATAGATACTATAAGATATTAAGGACAGATAAGTGTGTTGAGAACAGTTTTGAATTACACTACAATGCAAGAATCATTCTCAGATACCACTTGTATCACTGTCACACTTTATTGCGTCTGAGAGAAGAACGTTTTACAGCAGCCTGATGTAAACAGGGCTTTCGACTTACTATCTTAAGAGTGTCAAAGAGAAATGTACCGGTATCTATGACTATTTGCTTTCAAAATTATACTTGGATCTCAGTTGTTTTAACTTTTATATATTTAACTCGATTAGAAAAGAACTGAAGTTAATGATTTTGTATAGCTGACATAAGCCTTTGTTATTATGTTATGAACAGGGTTATATTGCTCAGTCAAGGTTTTTTTTTTTTCAATCAGACCTTGTCTCTTAATGAGATAATTTTATATAGACCTTTATTAAAACCTAATATACTACTGACTACCTACTGCCAGCAATGTTAACATATAATTCAATTTGTCAATCATTTTCCTAAAAATTGGAATATCAATTCCAAAATAGCTTAGTACCGTACTCTGTCTTTTTACAGTAGGCCTTGATGAAAATATCAATAACAAAATTTTGGTCTAAAATATGTTGAAACCTTATATTTCTACGGACTCAAGACATTCTAAGTTAAAAGACATGTAATTGAAAATTACATTTACTTCAGAAATCAACGAGATCGGATGACAGACTTGGCTTGGGAGTTATATTGCAATCAATGTGTCAATACTGACAACACAAACGAACGGGCACTTGCAAAAAATGTGACTTGGTTGTTGACATCGAAATGAGAATGAGATTAACGCGTCTATATCGAGGTGAACATAAACTTTTACCTACCAATTGATTACACAGATATCATTTCAACCAGAAACTTCACTTAAAATTACCACTGGAGACAAATTTAAATCGAAATATTACAAATTCCACATCACAAAAGTTTGTTTTGAGCGGTTCAATATGGACGACCGTTTGGCCGGATATGAGTTATCTCGTGTCCTGATTGGTCAATCAGTGATGACGTCATGTGGCACGAATTTCGGATGAAGATTTGAGATGAATGAATCTAGGTCAAATCATCAACATTGTTGAAATGTAAATATTGTGATATGACGTAAAAAGCTACCGTTATATCATAAAGTTATAAACCACGAGTTTGAATAAGTGTATTACATTGTAGAACAATTGTTTCTACTACGTCTAAAAGTCGGTCAAAATGCTCAAATGTAAACAAAAAAATATAGCTCTTATTGTAGAGACAACTCGACATCACATTTCGCTTCCATCAACAAGTAAAAAATCAAACATTTTAACTCAAATTTAAGCCATACGAATACAAAGAGGTTAAATGAATTCTTGAAACCTTCTTCATTTCCATTATATTATGGCACTTTCAGGAGTAGGCTAAGACTTTTTGACTGGGGAAACCGATTTCTTGTTTCTTATAGGCTACGGAAATTAAGATCAAATTGAATGTTTTCGCCAAATAGAAAATAATCTATGTACAAAATGCTAAAATTATAAAAAGAAAAGTTCCTACCCAATTTTCGTATTTTGGCTTGTTTCATCAGCCTTCCTTTTACACAAATAAATCCAAATTTATCGACCGACAAGGCAGTACGTACGTCCTACAGTGATAACGAACACAAAATGGCGACAAATTTGAACAGAAGGTCAAAAGGATAAAATCCCTTACTTATCAAAACTAACAAACCCCAATCAGGGTTTTCGAAAAGTAACGCATTGTTTTATCATCATTTCTACTGAAGGACAAAACAATAGTCTTCAAACCTTTTTGCGTGAACAAAAGACTCCATCAACATCCTTTTGAAGAACGGGACGATGTTTGAATGGTAATTGGTTATGTCAACTAGGTTTAAACGCCCATAATTAACTTTGAATAGAGATAAAAACCAAATCAAATCAGAAGTCCATCAGATTTAGGATTAATTCATTAACACCCTTTTAATATTACTTTTCTTGCGGCGTTTTTCTTTTTATTACGCTACGCTTTGTGATCAATAACAATAGACTAGTTCGATATCAGCATCTTAGCCTAAAATATCGATAAAAACTGAGATAATCGAAGAAATCCGTCAAAGTCCTAGGATAATCTGCTGTTATCACTACTTGATAACATTTTTTTTATCTCATGGATATCATCAAATGTCTTAAAACGTTTCTAAAACCAAACAGTAGTTCCAAAATAGTTTTTTGAAATATAGAATACTAAGTTAGTTCGTTATATCAGCTTCTCCGGAGGTGGTTATCATA